AGATGCAGGACGCCAAGCGGGGCGCATCGGGCGCATCGTCCTCTGCGGTGGCAACCCCCATCGAGGATGAGATCACGACCAAGAGGAAGGGCGACGACGGCGACGTGGACCAGCTGAAGATCACCGACAAGGACAAGACGAGGCTCGAGCTCATTTACGAGACCGAGGCACTGTCCACACAATGGGGATGGGGGCTATGGGCTCTGGGTGTTTCGGATGTTTTTGTCTTATGGTACTTCCGTAACGGAAGTAACATAATACTAAAACATCCAAGACACCCAGCAGCTGGGCCCATTCTCCTTTGTGGCGGACCACAAGGCGTACCTGACTTGGCTGGACCAGCGCCAGGCCTTCAAGGCCAGGTCCCTGAAGCTCGCCACGCTCAAGGCATGCTTCACGGGGAGCTGCGCTGTCATGGTCAATGGGCTTCCGCGGGTGATCAAGGGCTGGTTTGCATTACGACTGCTGTTCCGCAACCACGTGTGCAGGAGTGCCAAGCTCCAGCCACGCCCCAGCGAGGAGGCTTGGAATGCATCCTTGTGCGCCGACCTGCATAAAGAGATCCAGGACGGCTTCCTCGAGCAAGATGTGGCCGAGGCGCCTGCCAACCGCGCAGCCACCGTCGATGAGATCGTTGGGCTCATGCGAGCTTCGGAGACCACGGAGATCGTTGCAGCCATGAAGACCTTCTTCAAGAGCCACAACACCAGCATGCCGATATCGACGCAGTGCATCCCAGCTCGCCTGGCCAACGAGGCGCTGATGAAGCTGATGGAGTTCTCGAACAGCTCTGCCGACGTGGAGGAGCCCGAGAAGGGGAAGCAGATCGCAGTGTTTGCTGCTACTAGCGTTGCGGACTCGGTCGTCGCGGAAGTCCCCGTCGAGTGGGACGACGTGATGAAAATTTTGGACTCGGCAAAGCAGCACGGGCTCATCGAGAAGTTGCCCCGCGACGTCACGGACTCGATCGCAGAGATCGTCGATATGAACACGAACTTCTTGAGGGCCATTCGGTCGCAGATCTTCTTCCACATCCTCAAGAGCATCGGTGCCATGACCTACGTCTCTGTATCGCCTCCTGCTACTCAGAAGGCTGCGAAGTCTGTGAGGTTTCCCTATCTGCCGATGCACTGCCAGAGGGTGGTCCACGAGCTGTTTGACTCCTACAACATCGCTAGCGTCGGTAAGGACACGCTCGCGGAGAAGCCTGCCTTCCTCTCCCAGCTTGTTACTGGCATGTCTCCAGAAGGTGACGTCATTGGTTTGTCTTTCGTTGAGGCAGCGGGCAAATGGATGTCGGAGCTTGTCGACGTGGATATGTTTATTTGCGCCAATGGAGGGCAGCATTTCTTGGAGAAGAAGACAACATTCCTCGAGAAGATAAAGAAGGCCTCAGCCGTATCGATGAAGCGCCAGCTGGCGAGCGAGGGAATCAAGATCAAGACGACCATCACCCGACAGATCGAGCTCTTCCAGTCCAATCGCGATGCCGTTGTGGAGGAGATCGTTGCCGCGTACGACCAGCTTCACCAGACCGAGGCAGAGGCGGCCCTCCTCTACGCGAAGACGTCGGAGATCGCGATCCAGCGACTTTCGGAGAAGCATGGGGGGTCGCCTCCAGTCAGGGCCCCAGAGACAGCCGAGAGTAAGAAGGACGGCGACGCCGTCGCGGTGATCGAGGTGAAGAACCCAGTGCTGATCCCAATGGGCAACTGGTGGAGGGCCCTTCTGATGCAGGAGGGGGCCGAGCAGCACGTGATCCTCAAGGGCATCGTGGCGTCGGCGCAGACGAAGATCTCGGAGGTGATGATGCACCACGTGGCGGCCTACGGCACCAACCAAGAGGTCAACGGCCTCTGCGTCAAGCACGCGGATCCTCGCGAGGCGAGTACGCCGAACAAGAAGATCAAGCTCGAGGTGCACCGCGTGGAGTTGGCCAACAAGAGCGACAGGAAGGACGTCAACCTCCCCTTCCGGGGCAAGGTGGTCTGCGAGGGCGAAGCCGTGGCGATCAACAAGGCCATGTGCTTGCCGATCGGCGACAACAACGGAGCTGGCCCGAAGCTGTACATCGAGGGCCTGGCCAACAACCTTCGGCGGAGCGACGGGTGCCTGGCTTGGGCGATCGCGCCGTTGCCTGTCAAGAAGGGTGGCGCGAAGGAGGCCGACGAGGGCAGCGCCAAGAAGAAAGCAGCGACGGCGACAGCCAAGACGGAAGCAGCAGTGGCCACACACATCATCGACTACATGGACCTGCAGTGGACGATGGCCGACCAGACGTACACGTACACGCTGCCCTACCTGAAGGACAACCCCGACCACGCGGAGTTCTTCGGGAAGTGCCACAGGGCCACTTCGCCGTGGGACTTGGGCGAGGTGGTGAAGAGGGAGTGCTCGTCGAAGGAGTTGAGGACCTTCCTGACGAGCTAAGCGGCTGGCTGCTTCGGCCAGGGTCCAGGCTCGGAGAGCCTTCCGACTCTCACGAGTCGGGCTCGAGAAAACAAATCATGTTCCTGCTGATGCTCCTCGTCGTCCTCCAGGTGCGGCTGCTGATGGTGCTGATGCGCCTCCTCCTCGATCCCTTCCTCTTCCTCCCTCTCCCCCTCCCCTCCTCCTCCTCCTCCTCCAACTCTTCTCCTACTGCTGCTGCTCCTCCTTCTCCTTCTCCTTCTGTTCCTGATGCTCCTCGTCCTCCCTCTCCCCCTTCCTTCCTCCTCCAACCCCTGTCCCACCCCCCCATCGCCCCCTCCCCCTCCTCCTCCTCCCGCGCGCGGGGGAGGGGGAGGGTGGAGGAGGAAGCCCTTTTGCGGTGCGATCGTTCTCTTGAGAAGCTGGGTTCTCCCATTCATATATCAGGGCTGCCGCCGATCGCCGACGAAAGAATGGTACTATTTGTAATGTAAGAGTCTGGGTGCATGGGCCTCTTCGGGCCCACGGGGCACAGCTGCGTTCACTCGAAGTTAGAGAACGCGCACCATTTTTCGGGTGAAACAACTACTCTAGAGTTGGGCCCCGCAACATGTGCGACTTAATACCGCAGGCCCGATCTTCAAATAGATAACGAAGCTTAACTCCCAGAAAACTTTACCAGCCTTTGAATTTGCAATACCATATCAACACAAATCGGACGGATGCTCGCAGAATCAAATCCCAAAGTCCCCCCCGCGATCCCAGGCAATATCGGGCGGCTTCGGGGGGTGACCGAAACCGAAACAGCTCGCGCGTATCTTAGCGTAAAACAGCAACTACAAATACAACGCTCCAGTTGTTTCCCTTGGTTTTTTTTCCAACTTTGGAACGTTTGTTACGGGTTCAAGCGGCTTGGGGGCGCGCGGGTTTGCACTTGGATGTTGTCCAGGTGTGGACAGCTTCGTCCCCACCAGAACTGTGGGGTGCAACCACTTCAGTTTCGAAAGCTCTTGGGGGCAGTTTTGCTGCCTCCTAGGGCCTCTTGGTGGCCTCATGGGACCTCTTGGGGGTTCCTTGGAGGCCTGCCTGTGATCTCAGGTCCCCCCATGGGGCGTTGGGTGCGAAACGTTAGTCCGAGTTCCCCCTCTTGGGGCTGTCTTGGGGCCATCTTGGGCAGACAATCCTTTTACAACTGATGGAAAATCAACGAGTTGCGCCTCGGGGCCATTCTGGACGTGCTCTTGTGGCTTTCTCGGAGCGTCTCGTGGACATTTTCGGCCGTCTGTGAGCTATCTTGGGCGTCTTGGACCGATCGATCGGCGACTCGGAGCCCTCTTGTTTCGTCTGAAAGGTCTCTTGGTCTCGTCTTGGCCCGTCTTCGGGCCCTCTTGGATCGGAAGAAGCATGCGCCAAGATTCGGGGGAGCCGCGGGGAGCACTGGGGAATTTCAGAATTTGAGGCCCGGGCACCTTGGCATTTAATCCTGGGGATTGAGGATTGGGGACTACAAGGGACCCGAGGACATTCCAAGTCGTGCCCTGCGGCACGGTGGCGGATGCGGCGCATTGCTTGCAGTGTAGACTATTCTGGTGAATATGCATGGTGCGCGCCAGTTGTATTTCGAGAGGGGATATGGCCACAGGATTGCGGCCCCGACGACCCCCCCCAAACGACCCAACCCGACGTCCGCCACCGGCCCACGGCCCTGCCCATCTGCTTTCGGTTGTTTCTCTTGCGCTACTGGATGTCCTCATGCTCCCTGCTCCCTGTCTGCTGTTTTCGCCGGGCCCCCATCCCGCCTGCCCGCGCACCCTCTGCGCCCTGGCGTCCCGCCTGCCCGCCCGTCGTCGTCTGCCTGCTTCTGCCGACGGCACAGCCTGCGTCCAGCCTGCGTGCCGGCGCGATAGGCTGCCCGTTGCCCGACACGTCGCGCCTGTAAGGACCGCTATGGGCTCATGAGGGGCTCTGGTTTTCTGGCTGGTCCCCACCTGGATGGTCGTGCGAATCCTCTCGTCGGCCTCCCCTTCGCCTTCGGTCCCACCTCGCGATGGACAGCCATCAGCTGACTCCTGAGCGACTGCGGCGGGGAAGTCCACGTCGGGCGCTCGTGGGGGGAAGTGAGGCGCTGGCCCGAGCAAGCTGCGGGGCCTGGACTGGGCCTCACCGCCATGGCCCCTCGGGCTGTGGCTGCGCGCCGTCGCCACCACGCGCTGCGCTGCGCACGGTTCCTTACCAAGGGCTCCCACCGGCCGAGGGTCCGGGAGCCCAGCCAGCGCACGGTGCGGGCACGAGGCAGCCGCGGGCACCCAGTGGCCGGAAGCCGGGAAACGCCAGCCAATCGATTAGCGATCAAGGCAAGAGGTTTTTCGTACATTCAAGGTTCGTGTAATTCAGTTGTGTTGGGTTTTCATGTGCAGAGTTTGCATTTATAGGTGCACTGTTGTCTTGACATGACTTGCGCATCCGTCATCCTGCGCACCTGTGCTGGGGCACGTCATGACTTGTGCACCCGTCATCCTTCTTCACCCAAAACTCGCGCTGGGTCACGGATGCGGGTGAAAGATTGTCTGGGACGACGGAGAACCCGTGAGGCATTTGGTGAGATCGGGCCGTTCGAGCTAGACCCGAACACGCGGATGAGCGTGGACAGCTTCCGGCGGTTTTGCAGTCTTCCTGTGTATGCGTCGCTGTCTGGTGGAGCATGGAAATGGTACGGCGAGGATGACAGGAAGGGAGTTCGGCAGAGGGTGTGCAGGTTGTGGGGTGTGGGCGAAAGAATGCAACGAGCAGGGAGAAGCACAAGCGCGGAGAGGGGACGCAGATCAAGCGGGGATGGGCGAAGGACGGCATGATATGCCTCACTGCTAGGAGCGCGGATGTTTGCATGTACAAGGATGTGGGAACAGATGGTGCAGGAAGGGGGGGGCATCCTGGTAAGAATTGGGATGGGTGTATCGGATGTTGGGGGTTGGGTTGTTCCATTGTTGTCTCCCTTCGTCCCACCACCATTGTGGTGGCAGATTTAAATCTGGGTTTGCCTGCGCCTCTTGTCCGCAAGCGAATCCGCTGAGACGACTCTGGGCGTCTACTGCTCCCTTCCCCTCCCATGCCTCAGTTCCCTTCGCTTCACCCCCTTCTTCCTTTCCCCTGCTCGTGTTGTTCCCACCTCTCCTGCTGCTTACTCCTCCCCGTCATTTTGTTTACTTGTACTCGTGCTCCTGCGGTCAGCGAAACCGCCTCAAGTAAAACGCCCTGTGCCGCAACGAGTTCACACTTAACGCCCACAGGACGCAGTGCAGAGTACCCTCGCGATCTTCTGAGGACCCTTGCATCAGATCGACCAGGCCAGTCTATCGCTGCAACCATGCTGCATCGGCGCAGTAGGTCACGTGGCTCATGGTATCGAGGCTGCCGTTAGCAGAGGGCTTGACAACTATGGGCGGTTGTAAAGTCTGTCTGGGTGAGGCAACGCGGAGAGCAAAGCTCGGCGACCGCGGCAGAAGGACTTGTGTATGGCTTAGTTTGTAATCTGTGGTGTTTTTCACGTGCTGTGCGGAGACGCAGGAAGGAGCGGAAGGGGCTCAACAGCAACACTAACAAACAAACCAGCAGCAACAACAACACCACCATCAACAGCAACGCCAACAATACCAACAACCATTTTACGACGGTTCGTTAGAATCTGCTCGCGTGCCTTTCACCACGCATATCCCAAACCCTCGATACCAGCCCTCTTCGTCTTCGATCGTAAGGCAGGGGAAGAGAGGACGGATGGAAGGAAGGGACAAGGGGGAGGGAGAAGGATGGAGCGTAAGTGAGAGAGAGAGAGAGTAGCAGGAGGGGGGGGCCATGAGCAGAAAACACCCGGGCAGATGGGCGGGTAGACCCTGACGGGCTGGTCGGGAAGGCGAGCCCAGGCGGCCAGATCGAGCAGGCGGGTTGCTGAAGCGTGCGTGTTGCATGAGTCGCGAAGACGTCTCGAGCGATAGCGCGATCTCCTCAATACAGCAATAACCTGCTAGAGTGCGATATAGAACAGGCGTCGTCGTTGTTGTTGTTGTTGTTGCAGGGACGCGGAAGCTAATGACCCTTGGTTCTATTCTAGACGCTTGGCGTAAGCTCACCAGCCCATCCTGAAACGATGTCCAAACGAGTTGCCTTGATCAGGGACGTGGAGGAGAATGCAGTGGAACGAATGGTTGGGCACCCCAAGGGAAGGGGGGATGGAGGAGGAAGCGGATAAGGAGCAGGAGGAGAGAGGAAAAGGGATTGGGGGAGAGGGACGGGGAGGGAGGAGGAACAGGTGGACGAAGAAGAGGAGGACGAGGAGGAGGCGTAGAAGGAGGGCGAGCAGAAAGGCCAGATGCTTTGTGGATGCCTCTCGGAGTCTCTTACGACTTCTTCTTTGGGGAGTTTCTTAGAGTCCTCTTGGGGCGTGTTGGGGCGTCTTGGAGGCCTCTTGGCAGTCCCAGACTTGGAGCCTCTTTGTGGCATCGTGGGGTCCTCTTGGGGACTCCTGGGTACCTCTTGGGACCGTCTTTGGGGCACCCTTGGAAGCCTCGGGGGCCATCTTGGGGCCATGTTGGATGAGATCGATCGAAGGAGGGGGACTCCTTACTCAGGGCCCCCCCCTCCCCTGGAGGCCCAGATGTGGCCAACACCTTAGTAAACATCATTGAGTTTGGCCTTCTCGCCGAGACCTCTTGCGGCGTCTTGGGAGTCTCTGGGGTGCCTTTTGGGGGTCTATTGGGAAGCCTTTTGGAGGCCTATTGGGGCCCATCTTGGGGCCCTCGTGGGGCACCCTTGGGAGCCTCGCGGGCCATCTTGGGACCATTTTGGACGAGATCAATCAAAGGAAGGGGGCTCCTCACTCGGGACCCCCCGCCCTATGAGGCCAACGTGTGGCCAACACCTTCGTAAAATCAATGGTGTTGGTCTTCTCGTCGAAGCCTCCTTGGGGCGTCTTGGTTGCCCCTGGGGGGGGGGCTATTGGGGGTCTCTTGGGAGCCTCTTGGAGTGGGAGCCTCTTGGGGGCATCTTCGGGGCCTCTTGAGACCTCTTGGGGCCTCCTGAGCACCTCTTGGGGCACCCTTGGGAGCCTCGGGGGCCATCTTGGAGGCGATCGATCAAAGAACGGGGAGGTTCCAAGTAGGTCCCCCTCCACAGGATGCCAAAGTGCTGCCGAAACCACCTAGGTAAAATCAATGAGTTGGACTTCCTCGCCGAGGCCGTTTGTGGACGCTGTACGGATCCGCGCCCCCCCCCAGTCCAGGTCCAGGGGTAGGGGGTACGGGGAGTGGTCAAGACACCCTCCCCGCCCGCAAGCTGTCCCGCTCACTCCCACACGCCCTCCAAATACATAGGTAGCTCCCGGGCCTCAACATGTTCAGCGGTCGTCCATGAATGGGCAGCTATTGGGAATCAATACAGGCCCCATGTGCGCGATGGGGCCAGGTGCGCCACGCGTGCCAGGCGCTCCAGGTGCGCCAGGCACCCCTGGGGCCCAAGCGTGCCACTCGCGCGCCAGATGCGCCGCGTGTTACACGTGCGTCTTGTGTGCCGCATGTTCCAGCCGTGCCAGGTGCGCCACGTCCGGGGCGCGCGCAGAGTGTGCCAGGCGCGCCCGCGCACGTGACAGCACACATCGGGGAACATGTCGGCCCCCACCGTTTTCGACGAAAACCAGTGCACAACCGCGGCGGGGAGGCCATCATGGTGCCTGCTGGGCCTGCATACAGCAGGCAGTATACGAGCACCCCCTGGGTCCTTGTCAAACGCCAATGGGCAGTGATCGTGGGGTGGCCGCCCATGTTCTGGATTCAGCCGCGAAGTGCATGCTTTTTGAAAGGGGCGATGGTCTCGCGCACAGCAGGCAATGTGAGGTGGCCCGCCGTCCCGGTCACAAAACAATGTTTTCGCGGGGCCTACGAGCAGTAGCCAAGACAGTGTGCCCCAAATTGTGTTTCGTTTTGTTTTTTGATCGGGATGGGGGGAGGGTGTTTGCATTGTTTCTGGTTTGCTACCAGTCGCCTGGGGGAGCGGGTCTTCATTGATAGGGAGCATTGATAAACCTTTCCCCGAAGGGCAAGAAGGGAGGGTGGAAGAGGAAACTCCCTAAACCATTTACGCCTTGAAGGGCTGGTGGGATTCCGCCTTGGAGCGCGTGATACGGATGTTTCGGGGCAGAGCGGCGTGTGGGGGGCGGGGGCTTTTGAGGGGCTGCATAACAATGCATCGCGGCAAGCGCGTGGCACATCGGTGGCGGGGTAGAGAGGACCGAAGCGAGACGAATTCAATCTTTACTAACACAACAGCATGTTAAAGAAGAGTGGGCGATGAGATGGAACAGGATACGCGCAACGGCACGACGAGCATGGTTCTTCATTGTCAGTTGTGGCATTGACACGGCGCGCCCAATCGAAGACACCAGACGCAGCGTATGTTTCACGATTGTTTCAGAGCAGTGGCCTAATAATCATCCACTGTCCTCCTTCATCACACATCTTTGTCATACTCGAACTTGCCGTAAGTAATTCGAGCACTTCCAGTCCACATGAGAGAGGCACTGTGCGTGTTCCTGGAGGTGTTCTACCCGAGGCAGCTGGCGGCACATTGAAATTATAAAATTCCTTCACAAGTGATCCCCACGTCAGAAAGCGGTATGCGCCCGGCGCACCCGAGCAGCACATTCTATTCTATAGAATTTGCAAGTACCGCAAGTCGAGAGGACCATCCCCGAGAGGAATCGACATATTGGGAAATGGTTGTCTCGCGCCCGCGGAAACGGTGCATCGAACGGTGAGCATGGGTGCCAATTGTGGGGACGGGCACTTTGGCCATTACCTCCACGACCGCTCCGTGAGCGCCAATGGCTTGGGCAAGCAGTTCATCTTCCTATTCTCCATTCTTCATTAGCGCCCTCTTCCCCGTCTCCCTCTCCTAGGTTTCCTGGTCCACGCAGTTTGTTCGTCATCCTCATCTCGGTGGAGGAGGGGCGGGGAGGACCAGGCTGCGATGAACTTCATGCCGACTCCATGGTTGTCTCGCCCTCGTCCTGCACCTCATCCCCTAGCACCGCCCTCGAGAAACGGGGCGCGGAGGGCGCAGTCCGCCACGTGAGCCGACCGGGGCGACGCTCCTCGATTCTACGGCCGTTTCATCGTCATCTTGTGATTTCCCCCCCCCGCCCCTCCTCCTCCTCCTCCTCCTCCTCCTCCTCCTCCTCCTCCTCCTCTTCCTCGTCCTCCTCCTCCTCCTCCTCCTCCTCCTCCTCCTCCTCCTCCTCCTCCTCCTCCGCCTCTCTCCGCCTCGCTGCCCCCGTTCCGCCCTGCGCGGAGGAGAAGCTCATCGACTCCACGGCCGCCCGCATCCCCGTGCGCCACTTCCGCGACCAGGAAGGGGGGGGTCGGGAGACTCTTCATGGGGGGGGATCCCATGGGGGGATAGGATCCCATGGGGGGGATCCCATAGGATCCCATGGGGATCCCATGGAGAGTCTCCCGAGGGGGGGGGGGGGGCGCGCAGGCCCGCTCGGGGCCGTCTGGCCGAGCTGCCTCGTCTCTCCCCTTCATGCCCGCGTTGCTGTCGTCGCGCGCCCCTCCCCGTTCTTGTCCCTCCGTTCCCCCACCTCCCTCTCCATCCTTCCCTCCCTCCCCCGTCCTCCAGGTGTACTAGACATGGTGTGATCGAGTGCGGGGCCTGTCGCAGTTCTTTTGTATCAAAGGGAGGGTTGGCATGCGGCATCCGCTCGGGCCGCTGATCGGCTTTGTCTCTCTTCATCCTTCCGTTCCTCGGTTTTATCCTCCTCGTTCCCCCCTTCCCCTACTCGTCCTCGTCTTCTTCTCTCCCTCTTTTCCTCGTTTTCCTCTGCCTTGCTGCCTTCGCCTCCTCGTTTCTATGTCTTCATTCTCTGCTCTCTCTCTCTCTCTCTATTTCTCCTTCTGCTCATCCGAGTTAGTCAGGCGCGCACGTCCTATCTCAACCGTCGGAGTCGAAGAAGGACTCCACGAGACATTGCTCGCTTGCCTGCTCCTCCCTCCTCCCGATTAATTAGCACATCTCTCTCTTTCCCGTTCCCTTTACCTTCCACGTTCGCACTCCTGTTCCAGCTCCTATTTCTCCTCAATATCATCTTTCCATGCCTTTGTTATACCCTTTTATACCCTACTAATTCCCATATTCGTATGTGGTCATCATGTACCCTTCTTCTTCTGGTACCTTCTCATGTCAAGGGCGTCCCCGGGGCATCGCCGCGTGACATGAAGCGAGAACGACGAGCAGGACGTGGGATGAGGAGGATCCACATGCAAAGACTGCATCTGATGAGGAGCACAGAGGAAGATGAGGAACAGAAGGGCGGAAAACGCAGACTTCTGGGGGCAGACAGTGGCGCGCGAGGATGACGCCCACCCGCGCGATCTGCAGATCCACGTCCTGCAGGACGCGCTGCCCAGGCAGAGGGACGAGCGTGGGGTGCATCCTTCCTGCTCTTCCCCTGCCCCTCCTCCTTCCCGGGCCTCCTGGCGGATGGGCCCGGATGGGCAAGACAGACATCGACAGCCTGCGTTTCCGAGTTTGGCCCCCTTCCGAGCTGTTAGACATGGGAGTCAATGCAAACGGGGACAAAAAGTGATCGTTTTCTTATTCATTGTTTTGCCGATCGGCGCGTGCCCTCGGACCCCCCGCCCCCCCCCCCCGTGGAGTAGTTCTTGGCTGTTTTTGGCGCCGGTTCCAGCCAGGTGGAGCCTCTTCCATATGACACACTGCCGCAAACAGTTGCGTTAAGCAGAGGTCTGGAGCCAGACCCCCCCTCCCCCCCCCTTCCGCCCAATGTCGAAACGCCGAATGAGAAAACGCTCACCAAGAGCTCCGGATCTTCTGTAACCACTGTGGCTCAAGGCGTTTTGCTCGAGCACGCTCGCCGTCCCCCTCCGCAGAGCGGCCCCGCTCGGCCACCAGACCCGAAGAGCAGCCATGGGCGCGTGCTGCACGTCCACGGCGGCGTTCGACCGCCGCGAGCAGCGGGAGCGTGCGGCGCGGCAGTCCGGCGCCAAGCCGAACACCGCCGTGCAGCCCAGAGGCGACTGGACACCGCCACCAGTCGTCGAGGAGATTGACGAGATGGCCCAGCTGAAGCTGCTGCTGGAGCAGATGCCCTGCATGAAGGCGCAGGAGGTGCTGGTCGCGATGTCGACCTTCGTCATCATCGACGTGCGTCTGGCTGGCTTCCGGCGCCTGGAGGAGCTGCAGCAGGAGGGCGCCAGGGACGAGCTGCTGCCAATCGGCTGCGTGGAGGCCGTGATCAAGGCGATGGAGGTGCACTACGGCTCGGGCTCTGCCCCGCTGCAGGAGAGTGGCGTGCGGCTCCTGCGCGCCGCGGCGGCCACGCCGGCCGGGCAGCTGAAGGTCACGTCCTCCGGCGGCTGCAAGGCTGTGATCCAGGCGATGGAAATGACCGGCAGCCTGCAGATCAACAGCATGCAGATCGCGGCGTGCGAGGCCCTGTTCAACCTTGCCTCGAACAGCACCTCGAACAAGACGAAGATCGCGGCGCTCGGTGGAGTGACCGCCCTCCTGAAGGCGATGTCGGCCTTGATGGACGATGCGCGCGTGCAGGAGGCGGCCTGCGCGTGCCTTCGCATGCTGACGCCCAACCAATCGAATCAGACCAGGATCGCGAACGCCGGGGGCGCCGAGCGGATCCTGGAGGCCATGAAGAAGCACCCGGGTGACGCAGAGTTTCTGAACCAGGCATGCTGGGCACTTTGCCATCTGGCGTACGGACATCCAGAGAACCAGAAGAAGATGTCCTCGCTAGGCGTTTGCCAGGCGCTGCTGGCGAGCATGAGGGGGCACGCATCGTCGTCTGGCGTGCAGGTCCACGCGATGTGGGGCCTCAAAAACATGTGCGCCTCGATCCAGGAGAATCAGGTGACGCTTGCTGAAGGGGAGTGCATCGATCTCATCCGCATCGCGTTGGATCGGTACGCAGACGAGTCCTCCGTTGTGGAGCAAGGGTTGTGGTTACTGCGCAACCTCGTCGACAAAAATGCCGAGAACACGGCCAAGTTCCATGCCCTGGTGGGGGAGAAGACCGTGAAAGAGCTGATGCAGAAGCACTCTGCCGCGTCCAATGTGCAGAACGCCGGAAACGCCCTCCAGGCCGTCCTCCACGACAAGGGCATCGTGAACCGCTCCTCCCTGATTGCCATGGGCAGCAGGTGAGGCTCCAGGGCCCGCTCTTCCACCCCCTTCGCAGCACTGCTGTGCCACGCCAGGCCCGGAGGAGGAGGAGGAGGAGGAGGAGGAGGAGGAGGAGGAGGAGGCCGGGAGAGGTCACCGCAGCGGGCCCGCGCCCTCTCTCTCGAGCGCGCCTGCTGCCGCCCGCCTCTCTCTCTCTCTCCACGGGCCGCCCGCGCCGCGGGCGTCGCTCGGCCCCGCCGCCGCCGTGGGGCGGGGGGCGGCGCCGCCCTCCGCCCCACGGGGTGCGCCCCCCCTGCCGCGCCCCGCTCGACGAGCGGCGGCCACGGCCTTCCGGGGCCCCTTATGGGGCATCCGCTGCGCGTCGGCCGCCGCCTCCCGGCGCCCCCCCTGCGCGAGGCGGGCCCGGCCCGCGGGCCGCACGGGCGAGCTCCCGCGGGGCGCCTTTTGCTGCACCCTCCTCCTCTCCCGGGTGCAGCCGCCAGGGCGGACGAGGCCCGGACGCTCGACCGCTCGGCCGGGGGACGACAAACAAGCACAGGAGCAGAAAGCAAGAGCGCCGGATCTTGCAGGGATCCTGCAGTGTCAGGGCTGCACTGACCTGGGCTAGTGCGCAGGATCTGGCAGGATGTTGCAGGATGCTGCAGGATGCTGCAAGGCCTGACTGACCCGGGTGTGCATTGACCTGGGTCGCCGTCCCCGAAAAGCGACGGCCCGCGTTGTGGTCTTCTCTTCTGGACGACCGAGATGGGTACGGGAGGTACAACCACCGACAGTTGCCCTGCTCATTTCGAATAGGACTCGCTGCTGGTGTCGCCGCGGACATGGTCCATTCGAGACAAGGCCGCCTGCCCAACTGCGGCCAGTGTCGGTTGTGGACAACAGTTGTTGCTGGGCATCGTGCCCATTGTTTCCGTACCCATTCTGGGCGTCCAAAACTCTGGCCCCCAGGCCTGGCAAGCAAGCACCCACGGCGCGAAGTCCACGCGGATGACCGAATTCTCGGCAGCCGCCTGCTCCGCATGACATGGCACCTTCCCTCCTCCGCCTTTCCCCTCGTGCTCCTGTCCTCGCGCGGCGCATAGTTTCGAGGGGAGCCCAGGTTGATCGGTCGAAGGCGCCTGTTGTGGCGGCTTCTGGGGGTGCAAGGAGCAGCGGGAAGAGCAGCGGCCGGGGACGAGGAACAGGAAGCAGCAGAAACGGGAGAATGAAGCACAAGAAGGGGAGGGCAGGGAGGTGGGGGGGCATCAGTGGCAACGTTAGGTTGGGATCGGCTCACGGGGAGATGATCCCTCGACCCACAATCGCTCGTTCATCGCCGATAGGGGCCCGATAGCCCGCCCCGTCCAGAACCGTGCGGATCTGCTATCGGGATCTTGTCGCCGATCTGTCGGCGATGAGTCGCTGTTTCCACGTCGATGTTCCTCCCACCCTTAGCCGTTCCCCCCTAACGTTGCCCCTCAGGAGGGGGAGCACAATATCTCCGCTGCCACTCGCGCATCCAGCGACTGTCTGTTTCCTGGTCTTGGACCTGCTATCGTGATCATCCTCCGCATCCTTCGCCCTCATATTCCCAGGTGGCCTCACAGGCGTCCTGGCTTCATGGCTTTGACTGTTCAAGGACGTCCAAGCCCCGCTTCGGTACCTGGTGCTAGAGGTCCGGAGGTATCGAAGTGGTTCGCCCAGGGTCTGCTTATGTTTCTGTAGGTAAGTTTGCTCTTCTCCCGCCACCCTCCTGAAGGTATCCCTCTCCTCACGGTGTCAAGCCAAGTGAAGAGCATTCGCCCTGACAGAGCATCGGCAATTGACGGTTGCCTCACGATGTGGCCTGCGGATTCTCTCAGAATGTCAGTTGGTGATTAATATGTGATGGAGGGCCCCCCTGTGGCTGAGTGCGAAACATTGTTCTCTTCACGCGCGACAGTGGGCCGCCGCGGGCGCCGCCGACGGGATCGTGTACCCCCCTGCACGGCTGCCTCAAAACGGTTGCCTTGTTTTCATGGAAGTTGTTCTAGGGATCGTATACATCAGGCTGATGACGGACGTGCCACAGTCGTCGTCGTCGTCGTCGTCGTCGTCGTCGTCGTCGTCGACAGCGGGCCTGCGCAACGCCCTTTCCCATGGGGCATGCGCAGTGCGTCGTCGTAACTGCTGTCGTCTTCGTTGTCGGCGTCGCCGTCTTCATCGACTGCAGCGGGATCCGCTGCACCACCCTGTCCCGGGGCATCCGTCGCCGGTGCGGATGTCATCGTCGTCGGCGACATTGTGCCTACGCAGTTGTCCCCCCTTTCCTTAGGCATCCGCAATGCGTCGTCGTCGTCTCCGTCGTTGTGGTCGTGTTCGTCGTCGTCGTCGCCGTCGATGACTACAGCGGGCATACGCAGCACCCCCGCACCCCCCCCGTGGAGCATCTGCAGTGTCGTCGTCGCAGAACAGCAGCCGTTCCCCCCTGACGTTGCCCCTCAGGAGGGGGAGCACAATATCTCCGCTGCCACTCGCGCTTGCAGCGACTGTCTGTTTCCTGGTCTTGGACCTGCTATCGTGATCATCCTTCGCATCCTTCGCCCTCATATTCCCAGGTGGCCTCACAGGCGTCCTGGCTTCATGGCTTTGACTGTTCAAGGACGTCCAAGCCCCGCTTCGGTACCTGGTGCTAGAGGTCCGGAGGTATCGAAGTGGTTCGCCCAGGGTCTGCTTATGTTTCTGTAGGTAAGTTTGCTCTTCTCCCGCCACCCTCCTGAAGGTATCCCTCTCCTCACGGTGTCAAGCCAAGTGAAGAGCATTCGCCCTGACAGAGCATCGGCAATTGACGGTTGCCTCACGATGTGGCCTGCGGATTCTCTCAGAATGTCAGCTGGTGATTAATATGTGATGGAGGGCCCCCCTGTGGCTGAGTGCGAAACATTGTTCTCTTCACGCGCGACAGTGGGCCGCCGCGGGCGCCGCCGACGGGATCGTGTACCCCCCTGCACGGCTGCCTCAAAACGGTTGCCTTGTTTTCATGGAAGTTGTTCTAGGGATCGTATACATCAGGCTGATGACGGACGTGCCACAGTCGTCGTCGTCGTCGTCGTCGTCGTCGTCGACAGCGGGCCTGCGCAACGCCCTTTCCCATGGGGCATGCGCAGTGCGTCGTCGTAACTGCTGTCGTCTTCGTTGTCGGCGTCGCCGTCTTCATCGACTGCAGCGGGATCCGCTGCACCACCCTGTCCCGGGGCATCCGTCGCCGGTGCGGATGTCATCGTCGTCGGCGACACTGTGCCTACGCAGTTGTCCCCCCTTTCCTTAGGGCATCCGCAATGCGTCGTCGTCGTCTCCGTCGTTGTGGTCGTGTTCGTCGTCGTCGTCGCCGTCGATGACTACAGCGGGCATACGCAGCACCCCCGCACCCCCCCCGTGGAGCATCTGCAATGTCGTCGTCCGCCGTCGCCGCCGTCGTCGTCGCAGAACAGCTTGCACGGAGCGGCGGGGAAATAGATGGAACAACAAGTTTTCGCGTGTTTCTGCCGCTCCTCCCCCGCTCATTCTTTTTTTGTTGGTAACCATTTCGGCTTCGCCCGCCAGCAGATGCGCCTGTTCACCCCGCCTGCTGTTTCTCTCTTGTCATCTGCCACGTTGGCCCAGCCGCACCCCTGGAGCTGCGCCCCCATTTGCTGAGGCGGCGCCGCTTGCGTCGCGTCTGTCGCCGTCCAGTTGTCGGCCGGGTGCCGGCGCTAATCACCTGCGCCGCCGCCGTGTTTTTTCATTTGGCGGGCGCGCCCCCCGCCATTCGAACGAACAAGGGAATTGTATTTTGAATCACGCGCCCCCTTTTGCATTTATTGCCTCACAAGCTGACATTACCAAATGAGCGTATTAGCTTCCGGTTGGTTCACTATCGTGACAAAATGAAGCTTGCATAGATGACAACGGTTACAACCGTTGTAGTTCGCGCAGACGGAATTGTTCAAATGATCGCGCGAATTCGCCGATCCCCGTCTCAAGGAATTCGTCAATTATCGTGACACCGTACACGGCCTATGTGTCAGGAGCCTCGGGGATGCATGTGGCGATACCTTGGGATGCGTTTTCAGGGGTTGTTGGCGCCCGTCGTTTTCTGCCTCCCGGGTCCCTCTGGGGGCCTTCGGGCCATTTATCGACGACTCGGGATGAACAGTCGGTCCTGGGTGAGGGACCGATTTCCAAGACCCCAGAACCCATTTCTCTCAGAACCCGTTTCCTTCATGCCAACACATCGGACGACGCAAATCAGATTTCCACAGGACGTGATCCATAGCTCTAACACAGGGCGGTGGTTGTTTTTGATTGGAGATGTGCGCTGCAGAGGACCACGTCAAGGTGTTCCATCCTGGGCGCGACAGCGCGAGTGGCGAGGTCACGGCCCCGTACACGGCGGATTATCCAAAGGCCTCCCCGTTTGTGTCGTTGTGGGAGCATGGAACAGCAAGCTGGATGTGTGATTCGAATTGTTTTCAGTCGCGCTCGTCACCGTGTTTGGAGAATTAATGAACAAAAAAGGCTACTTGGCCCCTTTTCTGGAGGGCAGTGTACGTTTTTTGGATGCGTTTCGGATGTATTTGGGCCTTCCGTGTTATGCCACTGTGGGGGACTTACGGTGGCATGCCGACATTGCTTGGGACGATAAGCGTCGGCTTGCGTTAAACATATTGTTCCCAACCCTCTTTGGTTGGGTATTCGTTTTGAATAGACCACTGCGGTGTCCATTTCTCCTCCCGCTCCTCCTCCCGCCTCCCGTCTCCCGTTTCCGTTTTGTCTCCTGTTGCCTTGCGCGAGTTTGGCCATCCCTGGGGGGGGGGGTGCGATCTGTGACACAACGGCCATTTTCGAGGGCTGCTGGTGGGTCCCGCGGAGTGAGGCACCGCGGGGATCTGAGCGGGGCCTCGCCGTCCCTGGGGTGCTGCGATCTGTGACACAGTCGCCACGTTCGAGGGCTGCTGGTGGGTCCTGCGGAGTGAGGCGCCGCGGGGATCTGAGCGGGACCTCGCCGTCCCTGGGGGGCTGCGATTTGCGACGTTGTTGCCACTTTCGAGGGCTGCTGGTGGGTCTTGCGGAGTGAGGCACCGCGGGGACC